CGCATAGTCCTTTGAACTATGCGGTCGCATAGTTCAAAACTTTAGCCTCCATCCCCAATTTCCATTCCAAGCTTGATTTTATTATTTTCAACAACCAATTTCAACACATAGCATTGTTCTTTCAGCTTGTTTCGTGGGAGCACATGGATACGTGTGCAATGGCTGTGAGAGTGCAGGTTTTTGTTGGACTTTTCGTGTTTTGGTGGCGTTTGACTAATTGGATGTACAATCCACATGTGGCAACAAAACTAAAAAGTAAGGATCCAGATGTTAGATGATAGAGAAAATTTGTAGTTGAAGAGAAATTCGCAAAAAGACGTTTTACTTACCAACAATGGTTCAATATAGTATTAAAGTATATATAAAAAAGAAGTTCTGAGTTCAAGTTATTTATAAAAAAATTTTGCTTAAAACTTTAAATAATCAACAAGGTATAGTTTGAGTTTAAATTATTTATAAAAAAATTTTGCGTAAAACTTAATAAATATTATGAATTATGAATAACGTAAATTTAATTAAATATGATTGGACAATATTAAAGAACAAACAAGGCACCTCCTCTTCTCTCTACCTTCTCTCTGCTGGTGGCACTCTAGCCATCTCCCTTTTCCTGATTTTTACAGTAGCGGCAAGTTACCTTATCATGACGTTGCTTTTGCAGCAATGGTTCCAGGTGATGCGTCTTCTCAGGCTCACTAGAAATTAGGTTTGGCTATTGTTTTTGTGTTAGTGTTGGTGGCTTGAAGGTGGCGGTGGTGGTTGCTAGTTTCTATTGGTGTTGGTGTTGGTGTTGGTGCGGTGGTGGTGGCAACAATGACTGAGTGGTTTTGTTGGATCTGGTGGAGGGAGTGGTAGAGTATGTCAGGGATGAAATTGAACCAGGAATAGAAATGTGTGGTTGATGTTTCAGGCTCAAGGAAGTTGACCAAGAGTTGTCTGTAAGAGATTTTAAGGAGGCTGCCATCGACGGGATTGTTGTCAGCGGCGAGAGTTTGTAATGGATGGAGACGTGGAGTGATGTTACTATGAGGTTTTGGTGGGTGGTTGAAGAGATCCGGCTTAGGGTTCTATCCAATGCTCGGGTTGGGTTTTCGGATACATGATGCAAAAATGTCCTGGTTTGTGGTTGAGAGAGTGGAAGATTTAGCAAGTAAATATGTGATCAATGAAATAGATAAATTGTGATCAATATATAATGTGTAACCTAAAAATATGTTAATTTTTGACCAATAATTTGATAATTTGTGACCCTATAATGAGTTGTAACTTATAAAATTTTTGATTTGTGACTAGAAAATAAATTGTTTCCTATAAATTTTTTGATTTGTGATCGATGAACAAATTGTGACTTATAAAATTTTTGATTTGTGATTGTGAAATGATTTGTAGCTTATAAATTTTTTTATTTGTGACTGAAAAATAATATATAACTAAATAATTTGATTTTGCGACCAAATTACATAGAATTGTGATCTTAACATATTTAATTTATAAAATATATTTTAAATTAATTATTTCATAAATAAAATTTAATTAATATATGAATTTTGAAATTTTAAACCTTGTTTCTTATTTTTGAAATGAGTGATACTTAATCTCTTGAATATGAAATTTCCCATTTTATATCCACAATTAAGCCCATGTTTAATGGTCATTATTTTGAGAAAATTGAATTTTGAATAGTGAATTTTTGGAGAATATGCGATTAAAAAGTAGGGAAATTTTTGAATTTACGTGCGAAATATTTTATTGTGTAAATGTGTGATTCAAAATGAGTATACAAATTAAAAAGTTCAAAAATAATGATTATCAAACATGGCTAAATAGTCATATTTTAAAGTGAGAAAATAAACATACACTTCTCTTTTCTAGACATTGAATGCCGGCCCCAAAACACTCTTTCATCGATCATGGTGATTAAAATCTTTGTAATTCTTTAGTATATTTCCTATTTAATCCTCTATTTTTTATGACTTGATCCCCTCAAAAGATTTCAATTTATTTAAATATCATCTCTCATCTCCTTTTTATTTGTTTAATAAATCAAAAGGTTTTAATGGGATTACACTTCATAAACATTTTCTTAATTAATTTCGTATCGAATAGTAATGATGTCCTCGTGAGACTAATCATTTAGATGCCACTAAATTCTTCAAATGGCTTTTCTAGAACCCTTTTTAATGGGACCAAAATTTATATAAAAAATATATTATTTAATGTCTTCCTATAGTACTCGCTCAGCCTATGTTCATGAAGCACGTTATTTAAATTTAATCGTTAAGTCTTTCCAACTCATAATATCTTTGAATAACTTATAATATTCGTCTAATATAAATAAATAGTTAATAAAAACATGTTGTGCCTAGATAAAATAAGTCCGAGTATGAATTGTAGACAATTTAAAAAGTATCATATCTGATATACAAGTCGTACTCGACTAAACAATGTGAGAAATGATCATTTCTTTACCTGTTTTTCTATGATTTTTCACTACCTAATCTTATCAAATTAGATAAACATGCCAATAACTTAAAAGTAGGTGTTCGGGTTTGTGTGGCTTCCAAGAGATGGGCATTAGAATTGTGAAAAAAGAATCTTGAAAATGAAAGAAACAAAGTGTAAAAGAAGGGGCTTAGCGTTAGCATCATAGATTGGGCTACAAATGGTGGGGTGAGGTAGCCGTACAGCTTAAAAGATAATCAAGATTGGTCATCAGTGTTCCATTATTGAAGGCAAATAAAGAATGTCAATTATCTTAGCTTTTAATTGTCTTTATAAAATAAAGTTGTTGGGATTATTTTTCAGTTCACATACTAATAGTCCTATTTATAGTTTTTGTTTAGAATAATCCTATTTATCTGTGTCAATTAAAGGATGAGGGAAGATTACAAAGTTTTCTACAAGTCTTGAAATTTGTTGGATCTTAAAAAAGACGTCTTTGTAAATTTCAGTATATGAGTAATGATATTGATTGTAAATCGTTCAAATTGGAATTTCTTATTTAATTTGGACGTGCATTATATATCACATGTGAGAAGAAAATCAATTACGCACAAATATGTTTATTGAGTGAATGAAAATTTTGAATATGTATCATATATCACAAGTGAGAAGAGAAAATCATTTACACTCAAATATATTTATTGAGTGAATGAAAAAGATAAGGAATTTGGAACTGCTAATGAAAAGGGATAGGATAAAGGGCTTGTTGGAGCTTCATTTTTTTTTTTTTTCAAAAAATGTATTTTGTAATAGTGTTATGATGGAGAATATGTGATTAGAAAGTAAGAAAAATTTTTGAGAATGCGTGTAATATTATTTTATTGAAAAATGTATGATTGAAATGTGGTCAAATCATTATTCAAGAATATATTTTAATGAAAAAATGTGACTCAAACAAGGGCAAATGGACTTCAACCCTCATGATTTTTAAAGTCAACGGATTTTCTTTTTACAAAATAATATATTATTTTTAATTATCTATCCAAAGAAACTCCACGACTATATTTATATTATTAAACAAAAGTTTAATTTTAAAGGATGATACCGTATCTAGCCTCACAATAAAGCAACCAAACCTCGGGTAAATTTTGCGTAAGTACTCATTTATATAGGTCAAAGAAATATAATTAAAATTAATTGTTGATTTTGACTTATATTAAAATTTTGATTTTAATAATGTTAAAGAGGGGGCATAAAGTACAAACATAATGTGGGGCCACCTCACATTTGGCTAGGATAATTACACGTGTCAGTTCCTAAATAGTGAATGACAAAGTCTTTCACCGGCCAATTTTTGTGATGGTGAAAGGGAGAGAATTCTATGATGCATCCAAATGATCAACCCAAATCTTTCTTTTTCACTGTTAGGTATTAATAAAAAAGTTATTTATTTTTAAATTAAGACTAATTTTCATGATATGCCACTTATTTCTAAATTAAAATTGAGTTGGTTGGATAATTACCTAACAAAATTACCTTGTTTGGGCGGATTTGCGGGTAATTCCTTCATAAAAAAGTTGAGAATCGGTTCGATCAGCTTCATTTACAAAAAAAAAAAATGTATATATTTTTGGTGTTCCATTAACAGTGTAATAATAAAAAACGTCAATAAAAATATTTAGTTTTTCAAATTTATAGATTGAATTAAATGTGACATTAGATTTCAGTAATCATTGTCTACATTTCAAAATGTGCACTATAAACAAACCATTTTGAAGATTTTACATATTTCCTAAACTTTTGGGTGAGCAAAGATAAGTGCTTATCACATTCGATTAAAGGCTCGTTTGATATAATTTTTGCTTTTAGTTCTGCTTGTTTAAAAGGGTTTTTGGATGAAGTTACCTTAATTTTTGTTTGAACTTTAATTTAAATAAATACTTTTAAATGAAGTTAAATTGGACAGTTCCAAATTGTTTGTTTATATTGTTCTAATTAGAAGAACCACCTTCATAAAATTAGACAAACGATCTAAAAATAACTTTTGAGTCTAAAAANAATTGTTTTCTACAGTAATCAAGCTCTACCACATATTCAAATAATAAAATATCCTACAAATAAAATCAATAAAGTTTCTTTCAATTTCAACCACACATTTTCCAAAAAATACTATTCATTACACCATTTTCTTTTCAATAATGATTGACAAACAGGCACTAAAGTTGATGTCCATTTTTCTCTCCATGCAAATTTAAAAAAAAAAAAAAATACTGTGTGTTACAGCCCAATTAAAAGGTTAATAATGTATTTTGGAATAGTAGATCGATGGAAAATGTATGGTTAAAAATAAGGAAAAAATTTGGATTTGCGTGTAATATTATTTTATTGAAAAATATGTTATTGAAAAGAAAAGAGATAAAAATATATTTTGAAATAAATGAGAATCAAACAAGAGCATTTGAACCAACCTAACCTAAGCTGCTCACTATATAAGCCATGTTTATCCCCACAAATAGAATAGTACATAATACTTCAAAATCAAATCAAACTTTCTAAAAATGTCTTCTAATTCTCAGCCTTCTTTTCCAATACACCTGTGTTTCTTTCTTCTGGCTCTGTTCATGTTTGTAGGGTTCACTGAGTCTTTATTCGAGGGTTTGTTTGATCAGATAAAACTGTTTCTTATGTTGTCTCCATTGCTGCTTCTACTCGTTTTGCATTTGTATTCTTCCTTGCAAGGGGCGTTTTCTTCATTCATCCCTTTCCCGGAGCAATACGCGGTTCACCAGGCCGGCGGTACCCCGTGGGGAGTTGGGTTTCTGCTTGTGCTTCTGCTCTTTATGATCTCTTATCAGTCGGATTTACGAGAACGTTGGTTCCCTCTATTGGGCAGATGAATAATTGCTGATTTTAGCTTTGATGGGTGGCCTGTGAATTGATGAGATTTGAAGTTGGAGAAAAAGTTCGTCGACTTTGATAAACGTATCTTGTACACGCTACTTTACTCGTAAATAAGACTGTTGTCTGTGTGAATATAGTATATCTTTTCTTCCAAATATGAAGATCTTGGTTTTATTTTTAAAGTATAACTAGAACATGTTCCTCCTTCGTGATCAAGACTTTTTCATCATGGATTACCAAGAAGATAATGATAATCTTTTTTCGTCTGTTTTTCTTTTTCTTCTTTGTCCGTTTCTTTTGGCTTTGGCTTTGTTTACTTTTGTTAGGAAATGTGATATTAATTATATAGATAACATATCCAACTTCTGTTCCCTAATTTCTCGATTCATCAACTTTACGTTAGAAAAGATTAACGTGTGTGATTTGACAATATTGTCCTCTATTTTTAGGGATGACAGAAAAATTCATTCAACTCGATACCCCATGAAGGACTGCCTCGAATGGGGCGGGAATTACCAGCCCAACCGGGTAAATGGGGCGAGGGTTATTACCCCAAAGCCGGTATGAGAAATATAGTCATCGCCTCGCTATCCGCCTCGTTTAAAGTTAATTTTAAATTTCAGTTTTTTATTGACAAAAAATAATAAATTTATCATCATTTTTAAAGAGGACATAAGTTATTTTTAACAAATTAGTTAAAAAGTAATAATATTTATTAACTAAAGACGTAAAAAAAAATAAAAGCAAGGGCGTCCGTCTAACACCCATTTGATGTACTTTGATTGATTGTATGAAGAAGATATATTAGAAGAACCTATTAAATGTTTCATCCCTAGTATCTGTGTATAAATTCAATAATTTCACCTGTTTTGCTCCAAAATTAGCAGTAGAGGAGGTTGCGAAGGGCGTCCGTCTAACACCCACACCCAATCTTAGTGCATACAATTTTTATATTTCCAGTTAAAGTGTTCTCTAAATTATAATATGTAATTGGGGCACCAAAATTTAAAGCATTTGAAATTTTTCGTATAACATATTTTGTACATTTTAAATTATATCTAGACGAGCCCGAGCAGTCCATGGATCGAGCTCGAACGAGCCAGGCAGGCCAATCGACGCGCCGGTGGCCCAATTGCCTTCCCTATGTGTTAGTATTATACAATTAGCTTTCTTACTTGCGTGTAAGAAAATGTTTACTCGCTCGCAAACTGACAAGGTATTCGTTGAGTTATATCTATGCCATTCTTTAATTGTTCCCATGCAATATTAGTAAAGAATAATGATAACTAGAACCAATGCTACAACATTAATTTAAGTAACATGGTATGATTAACTCAATAAAAAGTAGAATTATATAAGTCATTTAATTGTTCTTATGATTTAATGATACTTAGTGTCACCTAAACTGACATTATAACTTGATTTTAATTAACTTTACTCATTAGAAATTTAATCCATTGCAATCAATGAACTATATGTCAATGTATTGAAGACACGGAGAAAAATAGTAAAATGTGATTTTCTCTAAAAATACTTTCGAAATATGAAATTGTTTTATAAATTAGATTTCAAATAAAAATTAAGGTAATTTTTTTTCAAAAAATTCTTTCAAAAGAAGTAAAATCAAGCGGGTACTAAATATGACATCTTGGTTCAATGGTATTATATCTGAAATCTTCTTGTGATGGAACAAATTATCTGAAAGAGGTGTTTTTAGTCTTGAAACTTTGAAATTTGAATACGGTCTTAATCTTTATATTCGGTTCATTATAATCGAAGTGTCAATTTAGCCACTCTTTGATAACCATTCTTTAAAAACTCCTTTTTTCTCGTACTCATTTTAAATTATACGTTTTCACAATAAAATATTCTTCATGAAATTTAAAATTTTTTCGTACTTTTTAACCACACATTGTTCAAAAATTTATTATTGAAAAACTCATTCTTTCCAAAAAAA